TTTTTAACTTATTTTATTTTTTAAAAACTTTATTTAGTATTATTGTTATTACTATTTTTACATTCTAAGATATTGCAGAGCAGATGGGGGAAGAAGGGAAGGGGCAGGGAGATGGGTTGGGAGAAAGGGGGGCATGGTCAAGGCCTGTGGCACCCCCCATCATTCCCACAGGGGAGCCCAGGGGGCTTCCAGCAGCATCTCAATTATGGCTTAGCTGGATGTGAGCTTCAGGGGGGCATGGCTAAGGCCCGTGTCCTCACCCCAACACGGGAGCCCGGGGTGCTTCCAGCAGCTGCCTGGCAGTCCTCACTGAGCTGGATGTGGATGTCGGGGGGCTGTGGCTGAGGCTCTTGGCCCCCCACCACCCAGCTCAGAGGCCTGGGGGCTTCTGGTCATTTTAGGTTTTATAGGTGTTCTTTGGTCCTCACTGAGCTGGATGTGGATGTCGGGGGGCTGTGGCTGAGGCTCTTGGCCACCCACCACCCAGCTCAGAGGCCTGGGGGCTTCTGGTCATTTTAGGTTTTATAGGTGTTCTTTGGTGATGTTAGACATTTACTGGTTAATATCAGAACTTTGATCTGTAGGTGTTTTGTTTTTTCTTTCAGTTCTGTGTTGGATTATTTGTTATTCCCACTACTTAAACTCTGCACTGGAACTAATTTGTTGTCCTTTGGTTACTTCTGAAATGTGGGAACTTCCTGTGGGAAGCAGCACTTGAGCCCTGTGGTTGAGCTAAATTGCTGCTTTGTTGCTAATTCTCTGCGGAAGGCTTTTTGTGCAGCTCTGGTTTTAATTGTTGACTTTGTAAGCAGTTCTGGGTCTTGTGAGGTCCAGTATACCTGGGTAATTTGTAAAGAAATCATATTTTTTGCTTACAGTTTCAGAGGCTGGGAAGGCCAAAGTCTGGGGAACACAACTGGTGAGGGCTTTGTTCTTGTTGGTGACTCTGTTCAGTGACTCAGGGTGTCACATGGCAGATGGAGGAGAAAGAGAGAGAGCTCCTCATGTGATCTCCTTTTAAAGCCCTCAGAATCATGCTCATGACCACCGTTAAACTATCAGATGGATTAATCTGCTTTCTGGTGCAGGATCCTCACAATCTAATCACCTTCTCTAGGCCCCACCTTTTCAGTTACCATGTAGGATTTCCCACTGTCTTAACACTGTCACAGTGGGGGTTAATTTTCTAATACTTGGACTTTGAGGGACACAATTCAATCCATAGCAGCAAGTAATGTAAATGTGACAAGTGGGGTAAGAGTAGGTTATTTTTATAGTTGGAGTACAGACTCCTTCTACAGCAGTAGCCACTATCTACTTACTTAGCCAATTAGTGACATGGTAATTCAAGCCCCATGTTTTGAGATCTTCTGCCTTTCTATGAGAAGATAGAAAATCAAATGGATTTTGGTGAACTTTTCTTGAAAATTTACATATTAACAACTAACTTACACTTTGAAGAATACGATATGAGTCAGTAGTACATCAGTGTGTAGACAGGTCATAGCCAATTTGCCAGCAGTGGTCTAGACACCTCCGGTGGCTATAGTGTAGTTCTCCAGCCCAGGTGGAATGCTGTCAACATTTTTGTACATGTCTTTTAGTATTGGTGAGCATGATTTTCTTTTGTAGTTAAACATTGCTGGCCCATAGGTATGCAAAAGTTTAGTTTAGTGAGATTTCGCCAAATAGTTTTTTAAAGAGATTGTACTAATATAGATTCCCAGTGATATATGATATCCTTTGGTTCTGTATCCTATCTAAAATTTGGTTTTAGGGAACACTGCTTTGCCTTTTGCTAATATGTATAGCCCATTTGAATTCAGTTAACCATATTATTTTGTTCTTCATACCACAATTCTATGTCTTTCTTTCTTTTTGCCTTTTGCATTGAGTAGTTTTATATCATTCTAATTTTTCTCTTGCTAGATCAAGTTTTCTACTCTTTTTTTTTTTTTTGGTCTTTTTCCGTGTCCGGCAACAGATTGCAACCCTCAGTGTCGCCCCATACCGGACCGGGACCGGCAACGGGATCGCAACCCTCGGTGTTGCTCCCACGCCTCTCTCAGCCAGTGAGTGGGAACCGGTCTGTATGTGGGATCCGAACCCTCGGCGGGAGCGCCGCCGCGCTTCTCAAGCGGCGCACTATAGCAGTGTGCCACCGGGCCGGCCCCAAGTTTTCTACTCTAATCCTGTTATTTTTGTAGTATGGCATTGTAACAGGCAAACTCATTAAAGTCTAATATTAATCAATGCTTTTACCCTCATGCACAATAGAAAAAGAATGTAGAACACTTTGAATTCAATTTTCTGATTTATGCTAATGTATCAGTATTTTAATTCTGTATAGTTGAAAATAAAATCTACAACACATTATTTTTCTTTTGTAGAATCACTTTTCACTTGTCTTTACCATTTTCTTTGCTCTCTTTTTCATTTTGTATCTTTGACTTTACATCTGGTTTATTTTCCTTTTTTTGGAAGTTTTTTTTTTTTATCTTTTTGATATTTCATTTAGTTGCAGTCTCTAAGTTAGTAAACTCTTACAGTTTTTGTTGGGTCAAAAATGTGTATTTATATGCCTTTGATCTTGAAGGACATTTTAGGTGGGTGGCAGTTGTTTCGTTCTCTTTATTATGTTGATGATATCACGTTCCCTGTCTGGATTTCATTTTTGCTGTTAATAAGCTATCCATTAGTTCAACTCTTGCTCCTTTGAAGGCAATCTGTCTTTCTCTGGCTACTTTTAAGAATTGGCCTTTGACTTAAATATAAGACCTGAAACTAACTCCTAGAAGAAAACATAGGGGAAACAATTTAGGATGTAGGACTAGACAAACACTTTATGACTAAGAACTCAAAAGCACAGGCAAAAAAAGAAATAAATAAACAAATGGGGTTATATGAAACTAGAAATCTTCTGCACAGCAAAGGAAACAATCAACAGAGTGAAAAGACAACCTACAGAATGGGAGAAAATATTTCCAAACTATGCATCCAACAAGGGATTAACATCCAGAATATAGAAGGAACTCAAACAACTTAACAGTAAAAAAAACAAGTAACCTGTTTGGAAAATGGGCAATGGAGCTGGATAGACATTTCTCAAAGACATACAGATGGCCAACAGGTACGTGAAAAAATACTTAAAATCACTAATCATTAATGAAATGTATATCAAAACCACATTGGAAAATGGGCAATGGAGCTGGATAGACATTTCTCAAAGACATACAGATGGCAAACAGGTACGTGAAAAAATACTTAAAATCACTAATCATTAATGAAATGTATATCAAAACCACATTGAAATATTATCTCACCCCAGTTAGACTGGCTGTTATCAAAAAGACAGAGTAACAAGTGCTGGTGAGAATGCGGAGAAGGGGGAACCTTTCTACACTCTTGGTGGGACAGTAAATTAGTGCAGCCATTATGGAAAACAGTATGGAGGTTCCTCAAACACATACAGATAGAACCGGGAATGTTTTCAACATCTAAAATTCCTAGGAGCTTAAAACGTTTCCGTTACCCAGGCTTCTCTTTCCCAGGCTTGCCAGGCTCCAGCACAGCAGCTGTGGGGATGAGTCCTGTAGTTTTAATTTTATTATGAGTATAGATTTCTTTTTGTACTAAGAATTTGTTAGGCCATTTTAATCTCTGCATGGATGTCTTTCATCAGTTTTGGTACATTCTCAGCCATTGGCTCTGAAAGTATTCTCTCTGCCTCATTCTCCGTTTAGGACAAGTTTAATTGAACTTGTGTCAGACTTCCTTTTTAGATCCTGTGTCTCTTACTCTTTTTTGTCTCTTCAGCTTCTTTATGGCTTATGCTGTGATTTGAATAGCTGCTTTTGGCTTATGCTATCGTTTGAATGTTTGTCCCCTCCAACACCCATGTTGAAATTTAATTGCCATTGTAACAGAATTAAGAGATGGGACCTTTAAGAGGTGATTAGTCTATGAAGCCTGCACCCACATGGGTAGGATTAATGCTGTTATAAAAGGGTAAATTCAGCCCCCTCTTACTCTCTCTTGCCCTTCCATCACGTAATGACGCAGTAAGAAGGGCCTCATTAGATTTGACACCTTGATCTTGGAGTTCCTAGCCTCTGAAACTGTGAGCCAATAAATTTCTGTTCATTGTATATTACCCAGTATTCTGTTACAGCAGCACAAAATGGACTAAAACTGCCTACTTTTGTGTCTGGCAATTCTCTCTTCAGCTATGTCTAATCTTCTATTAAGTATATCTATTGAGTTCCTAAGTTAATACATTTCTTCTGTTCTGGAATTTTTTTTTTTTTTTTTCTCTTTTAAGTCTGCTATTTACTTTTCTACAGTGTGTAGTTCAAGAGTTTTAAGCATGTCTTCAATATCTTGGAACATAGTAAGCATATTCATTTTAAAGTCTGTGTTGGGTAATTCCAAAATATGAAATCTTTGAGAATCTGTTTCTGTGTGTTTTTTTGTTTTTGTTTTCTTTTTTAGTTTTGTTTTGTGTTTGTTTCTTGCTTGTGGTGTCTTTATTTCTTTTTATATATGGGTATCTTTGATTGTGTGCTGTCATTATATTTGGAAAAAACATAAGTGTGGTCAATTTGAAGCCTAAATCATGGCCTCATTAGGAATGATTTTAGGTTTTTTATACTAAGTATCTGGAGGTGCTGCCAGTCTTGAATCACTATAATGCAAATTTGAGGCTTGAAGTTTTCTGGACTAACAAGGTGTTGTGAAGCTGAGTTCATACCTGAGTTTGTATAATCCTTTGTGGGTGTCCACTTAAAGTTGTTGATAGTTGTGGGAAGTAGCCAATAAACTATTTTTGCTGCACATGTTTTATGGCAAAAGCAACTTCAAGTGCTGGGCTTACCTTTTTGGATACTTGCTTTTCATTTCAGAGTTTATCTTATTTATATAGCCTGCCATTAATAAAGGCAGAAATCATTCCCTTTAATTTGTATTTGAAATTGTCTTGATGCTTGTTTGGTTTTTTGTAGGTTCTACATGAAACATTTCCTCAACACACATTCCTCATGAATGGTCTCATTCAAGGTGTAAAGGTAAGAACAATTTTTGTGTGGTTTATAAAATACCAAGACAAGGAATTTTTAATAGTTTAACTCTGGAGGCTTACGTGGGACTTGGAGAAATGATTACTATTTGTTCTGGAGACTTAAATTTAAATTTTTAGCTGGTTTTTCAAAGTCAGAATAAAATACATTACAAATTCATAATGATTTAAATTCATAGAATGATTCACTGGTAAAAGCGGTGTGAATACTTTACAGGCCTCACTTGATTTTTATTAATGTGTACAGAAAACGTTCATGCCTCATTGCTCTGGCCAGAACCTTCAATCAGTTTAGCCTGTTGCTCTCATAGAGCTACCAGCCTCCTCTTAATTGCTTACAAGCAAAATCTGCATTGTTTTTGACAATGACCTTAAGTTTGAACTTTCCCACAGTGTTTCAAATAAAGTTGGTTCTTTTGGAAATAACTTTGGAGGTTTGTTTTCTTATAAACTACCTCTCTCCATGGGCAAAATCTTTGAGCCACTACTCCAGGCACCAGCTTCTGTGTTTCTCAACTGAAACCACCTCTTAGGAGTGAGCTGAGGTGAAGGCTGTTGGTGCTCTAGTATCCTCAGTCTGTTGTGCCTGGGGTAAGGCTTCCACCCTATGAGTGGGGGTTGGATGGAGGAAGGGATCCCCTTAATTCTCAGACACACTCGCTAGGAATTTAGCCTTTGCAGCTTGGATTCAGAGGGGATGAGAAATGCTGGTGTCCTGCCTCTTCTGTTGAGATACTGTATCATTTGAGAGCTAAAGGAAGTGGGAGCCCCATCTTTTTGGTCACATCCTCCCAGAGTAGAGCTTCCACCTGGCTAACTAGCTCAGAGGTTGGGGAATGGAGTGGGTCAGGCACATGCCACAGATTCTCACTGTTGTTACTGAAATTTAGTAGATTTTCTTGAATAAATGTTTCTTTATTTGTTATATGCCCTTAGGACATTTTCTGGAAACTTTAAAAGTAATTTTTGCCATTTTTCCTGGTGAACAGGTCCTCATAGCTCCTTGCATTGCCATTCTGGACGTGGAATCCCGAGTGGCCTAGCCTTTTACTTTAACCTATTTGTGTCTTTACATTCAAATTGGGTTTCTTTGAGGCAGCATATGAGTATATTTGAGTCTTGCTCTTTAAACCAATCTTACAATCTTTGTCTTTTAATGGGGGCATTTAGACCCTTTATTTTTAACATGAATATTGATATGTTTGGGTTTACATATTCCATCTTGTTATTTGTTCCATCTATTTGTTCCCATTATCCTCTTTTTCTGCCTTGTTTTAAATTAATGTAGTATTCTAATGATTCCATTTTATCTCCTTTGTTGATTTGTTGGCTTATTTGATGTGCTTTTATTTTTTAGAGGTTGATTCAGGGTTTATAGTATACATCTACAATTTATTGCAATCTACTCTTAAGTAATATTATACCACTTCAAATAGAGTATAAGCATTTTACAACTGTATAATTCTATTATTATTGATTTTTAAAGTGTGATTATATACTGCAGTTATGTCTTTTTTTAAAAGAGTTTTTATCTTTCAGAGATACATACTGAAATACATACAGATGAGTGCTATGATACAGGAATTTACTCAAAATAATCCATGGGGAAGGCAGAAAGTGGGTGGGAGGTACAAATAAGATTGGCCATGAGTTGTTGATTGCTGTAGCCAGGTTTATTGTATATGTATTAAGCTTTTCATAGTAAAAAGTTAAAAATAAAATAAAAATTTTTTAAAAAATAGATGCCTGAAATAGATTAAAATGTTCTGTTTTTACAGCTCTTTATCTTGGATAAAATGCATGGCATTTTTTCCTATTAGTTTTGCTATTTCCATTTAATTTTTAATTACTATTTTACATGTTCATAATAAAATTTTATGTTTGTTAATAAAAATAAATAAATGACTTTGTACTTTATTCTTCATTGGTGCCACTGTCCCCTCAAATTCAGTTGTGAAGTTAGTTATAATATTTGAAGGAAAACAAAAAAGTGTCTTTAGTTTTAAAGCTTTTTAAGAATATTGACCCAAACTGGTGTAGAAAAATATTTTGCCGGTTGCATGTTTTAAGTAAAATGTGTGCTTGAAACCTTTATGATAGCTGTATGAATTGTAAAACTTATATAAATACAAATAAATTGTAAAATTTATACACATTTGCTTCAGGAAAGCTGTATTTGCCATTCTTTGTATGCATTTAAAAATGTTTTAGATAATTACATTTAATTGAACAGTAAGCTTTAATTGCTATTTTGTCAAATTAGAACCTGTAAGGCTATATCAGAATTACTAGCCAATTAATTATGCCACCTTAAGCACCTACTTGGAAGCTAACTGTACTGAAGTGACTGTGATTAACTGTTGGTTTTGCCTTCCATACCATGTTTTATCTCCAGTACTTGTTGGGTTATGGTTGCATAATATAAGTACATTCAATCCTCATTATTTGAGGATCCCATATTTGCATATTCACTTACTGGCTAACACCATGTTTTATCTCCAGTACTTGTTGGGTTATGGTTGCATAATAAGTACATTCAATCCTCATTATTTGAGGATCCCATATTTGCATATTCACTTACTGGCTAAGTTTATTTCCAGCTCCCAAATCAATACTCACAATGCATTTGTGGTGATTGGCAGACACGCCCAAAACAGGGGAAAATTTGAGGGGCCTATTTTGTATGTTTCCATCTGAGGTTATTAATAAGGCCACACACTGCATTCTTGTTTGTTTGTGGTGATTGGCAGACACGCCCAAAACAGGGGAAAATTTGAAGGGCCTATTTTGTATGTTTCCATCTGAGGTTATTAATAAGGCCACACACTGCATTCTTGTTTCTTCTAGGAGTGATGGTTTTGTATTCACTAATTGAGTGTTCCTGGTGACTTTATAGAGCATGGCTACTTTGTTTTTTTTTAATTAATTAATTAATTAATTTTTACATTCTGAGGTGTTACAGAGCGGTTGGGGGAAGGGGAGAGAGAGAGGGTGGGAAGAGGGGTAATGAGGGAGTGTGGGGCACGATCTAGGCCCGTGTCACCCCTCATTCTGGCAGGGGAGCCCAGGAGGCTTCCGGTGGCAGCTCAGTGGTCATCAGTGGGCTGGATGCAGGCATTGGGGACATGGCTGAGGCCCTCAGCCCCCCACCGCCCTGGCTCGGGGACCCAGGGTGCTTCCAGTGGCAGCCTGATGGTTGTCACTGGGCTGGAGAGCACAGCTACTTTGAGTAATGAGAATTAACTATATTTCAGGTAAAGACTGGGGCTATGATGTCAGTCTAGTTTTAATTTTTAAACATTTTGTTCTTACTTATAAATTATGCTCTGTAACTTCAGTACTGATGAAGTACTGGCCTAGTCAGTCAAGGCGCAATATGTCCTACTCACTAAACAGCTCTGATAATGTGGTCTGATGGGATCTAGGACCAGTTTGGGTAGTAAAGAAAAAACTGTGGAGAGAAGAAAGCCTTTGATTTTTTAGGAAATACGAGTTTTCCAAAAAGGCAGGTATTTAATTGTTTTTTAGCATCTTAATAAAACAGTAGGTTCTCCCAGAACATATTTTCAATATCTCTTATTGTCACGAAGAATTTGATTTCAATAATATTTATGTAAAGAGTAGATTAAAATATAGTTTAAATCAATAATCTAGAAGACTATCTTTTTCTGTAAAACTACATGATTTTAACTATAAATTTAATACTTGGCTATTCATATCTTTTGTTTATAAATGGTGTACATTCTATTTTTTAAGCATTGTATGAAATCTGAAATCAGAACTGTCCAAAAATTTTTCCTGTGTTCTTTGTGTTTAAGAAGCTTTTGTTATTGTTTTTGGTGTTGGTTGTGATTTCTACTGCCTTGCCTCTTAAATTTCTTTACATTATTTTCTTGACTAATTTTATATACTACCTAGATACTCGTGTATTTTATATTTAATTTTGAAGCAACATAAAAGGTTTTCTTTTCCGAAATGCGTGGAGCTGATTGTCACAGTTCCTGAACTTATAGCCCTGCTTCCACAGGGCTTCTTAGTTAAAGGAAAATCATTTAATCCTCATCTGTTAACTCTCTTGATATGAAAGCGGACCAGATGCCGTTGAAGTCTCCTGTGGCTCAGGAATTGCAAGGGTTGATTCTTGGGCCATGGATAATTTTTTTTTTTTTTTTTTTGTCTTTTGTCTTTTTCCGTGTCCGGCAACGGATCGCAACCCTCAGTGTTGCCCCCGCACCGGACCAGGGACCATATAGCTACAGCACATAGGATGTGTGTCAGGAGCCAGATTTTGGAGGGTCCTATTTGTATGTTACTCTGAGGAATTTTTAAAATGTGTTGTTATGAAACTTCAGGACACAAAAGACAAATATAATGAACACCCATGTACTCAATCACTCACTTCATTTTTTTATCAGCATTTCTCTACTCTTGTCTCATCCATCCCCATTTCTCCCGTCACCCCCTTATCTGCAACATTGATATGACAGTGGCCAGCCGGCAGAGTGACTGGCAAATAGTGGGCGAATAGTAAATGTGAGTTGCTCTACTTTCTCTGCTTCGGTGTGGTGTTATCTATCTCACTCTCGCTTCCCCTTAGCCTCAACTCTGTTGTTCAAGTGGGATTATCTCCTTCTTCCTAAACTCACTGGGCAGAGAGAAACTTCACATTGATCAAAGAATCTACTTTTCTGTTGGACATTTAGTGTTTGCACACTCATCCTTTTGAGGGTGTAAGGTGTCTCTCCATGTGGGTGTCCTCATTGCACTAGTTAACACAGTGCTTTGCACAGAATAGATACGCCATATGTATTTATAAGAACGAATAAAGTTTCTGGCTTCTTCCCATATGCTTGGCGTGTATTCATCTTAAGGAACACCATAAGTATGTGTATATTTCATGTCATTTCTCTTTTTCAGTTTTCTTCTGGAAAACAGGTTCTTTTACCCCTTCCTGCACTTTCTAACAGCATGCTTAAAATTTTTGTTAGAATTTTTTTTAAAATAGTAGTTTTGAGGCCGGCCCGGTGGCGCAGTCGGTAGAGTGTGGTGCTTGGGAGCGCGGCGGTGCTCTCGCCAAGGGTTCGGATCCCATATAGAGACCGGTCTGCTCACTGGTTGAGCATGGTGCGGGCGCGACACCGAGGGTTGCGATCCCATTGCCGGTCGTGGTACGGGCGCGATACCAAGGGTCGCGATCCCGTTACCGGTCACGAAAAAAGACAAAAAGGGGGGGAAAAAATAGTAGTTTGTACTTAATGTTTCAAATTGCAGATTGAGTATATCTTATCTAAAATGCTTGGGACCAGAAGTGTTTCAGATATTGAATTTTTTCAGATGTTGGAATATTTGCATTATACTTACTGGTTGAGCATACCTAATCCAAAAATACAAAATCTGAAAAGCTCCAGTGAGCATCATGGAGGATAATTTGCGTATTATGTCAGAGCTCAAAAAGTTTTGGATTTTGGAGCATTTCAGATTTTTGGATTAGGGGTGTTCAACCTGTGTTCTGTTTTGGGGCCAATGAAATGAATTGGAACTAGTGCATTTAGAAAATAAGAATTACAAGTAATTTGAGAATCAAATTATAAATCTAACCTCTCTTCCATTTTCTTCTTCAGGGCCTGCTGTCTTTTCTGAGTGCCCCGCTCATAGGCGCTCTGTCTGATGTGTGGGGGAGGAAGTCCTTCCTCCTGGCCACTGTCTTCTTCACCTGGAATTACAAGTAATTTGAGAATCAAATTATAAATCTAACCTCTCTTCCATTTTCTTCTTCAGGGCCTGCTGTCTTTTCTGAGTGCCCCGCTCATCGGCGCTCTGTCTGATGTGTGGGGGAGGAAGTCCTTCCTCCTGGCCACTGTCTTCTTCACCTGCTTCCCAATCCCGCTGATGAGGATCAGCCCATGGTGAGTGACTCAGCCCTTCACCATCGTGACTGTTTTAAGTTACGTGTAAATTATACTTACATCTGCAGGGCACTTCTTAACCATTCCAAAGCAGCTGTACCTGTGTTTTCATTTGTTCTCTTTGGTAATACTGAAAGGCAGTTTGGGCAGTTGCCATCATGCCCATTTTATAAATGGAGAAATGAGGACATTACAGAATTAAGTCTAAGATAAGTTGCATAGGTGAAGAAATAAAAATAAAAGAAGCCTCTAAGGGCACTGTTGTTGCCATGATGTTAGTTATAGGATTTCAGTCCTGGGAGTAGGCCAGCAAACTTCTGTTCTCACCACTATGGCTCATGTACAAGGTTCAAAAACAATGCAAAGGGTCTTCAAAGAGTTCAGGGGAAAATAGAATGAAAAGATAATATAAATCTCTCCATGAACTCTTTGAAGACCCTTGTATTGTTTTTGTCAGCTCGTTGCTTTGGGGCACTGACATGAACATACTCTACATCATGATAGGCAGGGTGTCTTTTGTGTATACTGTAGTAAAACTGATAGCCTATTCTAAATCATAATATGAATTTGAAAGGGAAAAATGAACCCAAATGTGATAAATTGAGAAAGAGTAGTTAGCATGTAACCAAAATCCATTTAGTTATGAAAGATGGATTGGAATTTGCACATGAAATGTAACAGTTGTTTTTCTGGCAGCCAGAGGGTGGTATTTTGGCCAGTATTCCCGTTGCTAACATGCTCTTCCTGTGTGAAGAATACACTTAAATATGGAGGTTTTAGTTTTAATGCTATTAATAGATTTTCTTTGTTGGCTCACGTGAAAATATTTTCCTTTGGTTTATCTGATACGAATTTTATGTCAACATTTGTCATGGTCTGAGTTTTTTGGGTACCCATAATCATTTTATTTTCTTCCAAGTGATGAATTTTTATGAAATACTTTTTGGTATTGAGACTTTATGTCCAAAAACATGTCATGCTTTTCCAATGATTTAGTGTTCTTTTTAATGTCCTTTTGAAAGCTTAAAATTATTTTCTTTAGATCGTATACATTTCTTGTTAAGTTTTTGTGTGGAAAAAACGAAGCACACACACAGACTGTGTGCTTTCCTCTGCTCCCACAGCATAGTTATCAACACAGAAGACCGACTCTGGCTTATGTGACCAAATGTGTGGGGGTTTTGTTCCCACCAGCAAACAAGCAACCAATTCTGCAGCGGGCACCAGGTGCCCCTCCAATTCAATTCCAATTCAATTCCGACATTATCTACCTGGAGATAGCATCAGATCCCACAGATCGAAGGCTTAGTCCCCAAGAGTGCTCCCCTCCGTCTTCAGATGCCAGTCACAGGTCCAGGGTTTTGGTACTTCTGACCAACCAGCTATTTAATCAGGGTTCCCACAACCCACTCCTCTTGTTTGATTAATTTGCTGAACTGCTCACAGAACTCAAAGAAACACTTGTATTTACCCATTTATTACAAAGGATAATTTAAAGGATACAAGTAAACAGCCAGATGAAAAGATACATAGGTTGAGGTCTGGAAGGGTCTCTAGCACAGGAGCTTCTGTCCCTGTGGAGTTGGGGTGTGCCACACTCTTGGCAAGTAGAAGTTTAAATCCCCACGTTTGCTATCTGGAAGGTCTCCAAACACAGGCCTTTTGGATTTTATGGAGGCTTCATTACATCAGCACAATTGATTAAATCACTGGCCACTGAGGATCAACTTAACCGTCAGCTCTCTCCCCTCTCTGGTCCCACCTTGGTCTTTTCTGTGACCAGCCTCCATCCTGAAGCTATCTAGGGGCTGCTGGCCATCAGTCAACTCATTAGCATATGGAAAGACAGCACTTGGAGATTCCAAGGATTTCAGGAGTGTATGTCAGGAGACTGCGACATGGACCAATATATATTTTTAGTATATCGCAGTTTTATTCCTATGCAATTTATCCTTTTTGTTTGATTACAAAATGGGCTTTTCTAATTGCTTGGTTTTCTAGGTATTTTAATGTCATCTGTAAATAATTTTACTTCTTTCCTTCCAGTTTTCATGCTGATCACTGCTTTTGCTAATTAAACTGACTAGTGAATAATGTTAAATAAAAGTGATGATTATGGACTCAATCTTTTTCATGTACATAAAAAGTGTGTTGTAATGTTTCATCACTAGGCATTAGACTAGCTTTGGGGTTGAAAAATACTTATTTTTATTTTATTCAGAGATTTTTAAAATCAAGATTGAATGTCAAATTTTATGACTTTGTAGCATCCATGGAGATTATTTGCTTTTTTCCCTCAGAAAAAATGTTATAGTTAATTATATTATAGATTTTCTAATATTGAAACATCTTTATATCCTGGAATAAACCCCACTTTTTGTTCTGTAAGATTCTGTTTGCTGGTATTTTAACTAAGTTTTTTTTTAAGTATCTATGCATGGGGTAGAAATTTTTGGTTTTGATTACATTAATATTTTTTGTTATGCTTTCTGCTTTTGTGTAGCTCTTTTAAAATCATTTGTTGCATATGCATTTTTCTTAGCTAAAACTAGGAACTTGAAAAGTTTTTAATCCTCTTGGCTACCTTTAAAACTATAACACTTGCTTAAATCTCTTAATTCTTTGTTTTTTCTCTCTTCATTTCTTTCTCTTTTTAGGTCACATATACTGACCCCTTTCGAGCAGTGACAGAATTACTATGCTTCTACTTTCTCCTCATCTTGATTTTAATTTTATTTTTCTGTTTTTAAGTATATATAGATACAGATGTATATTTACGTATTTCTTGGTTTGTACTCTTTACATGCTGTCTTTGGCTCTGGTTGTAAAAGTGTGCATACACTGCTTCTCTCCTGGATAATTAAAATAATCTTTTTATAGGTGGTATTTTGCGATGATTTCTGTGTCTGGAGTCTTCTCAGTCACATTCTCTGTGATATTTGCCTATGTAGCTGATGTCACTCAGGAGCAGGAGCGAAGTACTGCTTATGGATGGGTAAGATAACAGACTATATATTTAACCAGAGCAATAATTAACATTCTATTAAAAATTCATCAGATTTAACATTATTGGTAAATATTGATTTATATAAAGGAAATCTAAAGCAAATGAAATTTTAAAAGGGCTCTTATAAAAAGTTAAGAATAGTGAGATAGAAATTGCTAGTAATTTGTTCTCTGGTTTTAGGGTTGGAAGATCAACAGGAAAGATGAGTTGTCAGTTGCAAAGTTTTTTTAAAAGTTGGTTTGATTTGTTTCTTGTTAGCTGATCTCATGAGGAGCCTTAAACCGTAAACAGGTGCTAAAATCAGAAATCTCAAATGAAATTTTAAAAGGGCTCTTATTAAAAGTTAAGAATAGTGACATAGAAATTGCTAGTAATTTGTTCTCTGGTTTTAGGGTTGGAAGATCAACAGGAAAGATGAGTTGTCAGTTGCAAAGTTTTTTTAAAAGTTGGTTTGATTTGTTTCTTGTTAGCTGATCTCATGAGGAGCCTTAAACCGTAAACAGGTGCTAAAATCAGAAATCTCTGTGCACCAGCTTTGAATAGGAGAGGTGTCAGAACCTCAGCAATGTTAATCCATGGTTGTTCTATTAGTGGTTGGTTGTATGTCTTAGGCACTCATTTGGGACATGGTAACTGTAAAAAATGGACTACATTCATTCATTCAGCAAAGAATTATTGAATAAATAACAAAAGTTGCAGGAGACTTTTTTTGATAGTTCAGAATTAGGCAATCTTTCTAATTTTCTCAGGCATGATAATGGTATTGTGGTTATGTAGGAGAAGAAAGAAGGACTACATTCATTCATTCAGCAAAGAATTATTGAATAAATAACAAAAGTTGCAGGAGACTTTTTTTGATAGTTCAGAATTGGGCAATCTTTCTAATTTTCTCAGGCATGATAATGGTATTGTGGTTATGTAGGAGAAGAAAGACCTATTAGAAGATGACAGCTGAAGCATTTTTGGTCAGTGTCATGACTCTGCAAGTTACTTTTGATTGATTCAGGGAAAAGTTAGCCTGTGAGCATGTGTGGGCACATGTTCAGTACCTGGACCTGTAGAAACATGGAGGTGTGTGTGTTGTATCCTCTCTGCTTTCTCCATGATTGAAAATGTTCACAGTAAGAAGGTGGAAGAAGAAAGATGATCTGGCTGGATTGTGGGAATAGATGGGAGAGAGATTGAAGGCCAAAACCCGGGTTCTTTCTCTCCTTACTGGGTCTTACTCTTTCTTTTAAATCCTAGTTCCTGGAATAGAGTAAGTGGTTACTCATTGCTGACTAACTGAATGAGTAACTTCATGAATCAGTGGTAGACATATAAGTAAGTTACTGCTGTTCACAAAACAGTTTTTACTTTGTTGATTTTAGACATCAGTAGTTTGAAAGCATCTCTTTCAATCCCACTTGCCCTCTGACTACTACCTGCTCTCTCTCCCTTCCTTCTTCCCTGAATCTCCCTAATGCCACGTCCTAAAATGGGGAGGGAGATGGGGGCACACATCTCCATGGTGCTGTGGAGGAGGACAAAGGGAAAAGCTGATGGGAAGGCTTCAGAGAAGGCAGGATGTTCAAGGTGGGCTCCTAAAGGCTGGCCAGCAGGGAGGTGAGGAGCCAGCTTTCTTCTATACCACAGGAAATACCCATTGAAATACTCATTTTCCTGCAATTTTATTAGATTTTTGATCCATGCTTTCACCTGGAAAACTGTTTACAAAACTGTTGTGCTAAGCAGTAGTACTTTAGGGAAAGATTTCAGAGAGATAGTCTGGAAACAGAAATGACTGTGACTTTAGTTACCATCTGTGGCTCAGCTCCTCATTGTTAAATGGCAGTTAGGGTTAATGCCTGATCACGGGGGCAGTGAGAGAAGTCAGTGACGCACACAAGGTTGAGACAGTGCCAAGCTCAGGTGTGATCCAGCCAGCATCGGCGACTCAGCACATAAGACTGTCTGGATTTGTCACAGGACCTAGGATGCTGGCCATTGACTACTTTTACATTTGCCCCTATACGCCAGATGTTAAGATTATAGAACTAAAAGGGAAAAAAAGAAAAGATTGCAACCTGTCTATCTTACATATATAGGGAAATTTATTGCAATTAATTACAGGATGGGTTGATCAAGTTCTGAGGAGTATTTTGAGACCCATTAAAGAACAATATATAAAATATGTGCACCTTTCTTGCTGAAATTCTACCAGTAAACCAAGAAACTGGTAATTCTTTTCAGGGCCGCAGCAGTGAATAGTCATATTAAGAAGTAAATTAATGCTCACTGAGAGTTTGTTGTGGTGAACTCATCCTTTAGGTTTATATACCAGAGCTATATAGAATATTAAGTGAAAGAGGGGTTTAGATAAATACACAAACAAAGCAAGCAAGATACTTTAAGTTTTAAGACACATCATTTTGCAGCTTTGTGGAGTCATAGACCCCATAGTATCTGAGGACATTGTATCATTGCTCCCTTGACACCAGAGAATGCTGGAGCAGTGCTCCCATAGCACCTGAGGACCCTGCAGCAGTGTTCCCATAGGTGTTTGCATGTGATTACAATTTATAATGCAGTTATGTGGTTGCCTTGAGCTTCTCAAAGTGGGAGAACCTGAAGGGCAGGAGTTTTGTTGTTTTCTTCATCTGGTACAAAGTAGGTACTCAGTAAATATTGAATGAACGAATTCCTGTTCCCCAAATTGGAATCTCCTCATCCTTTTTTTTCCCCCCTCCAGAAATGTTTTTGTTTTTAGCTTTTACAATATTTTTACTGTAATGCTAATTTCAGATATTTTATTTTTATATTCAGTTGGGGAGTGATAGATGAAGGAAGAATGTAATTGGCTTACCAGGAATCATAGTTATAATCATAGATAATGATTTCTGTGGTTTCTATTAAAACCCATTAGAAGTTTAAATAACTAACATAGATAAATATGCTTTTGCCGCTTATTCAGGTTAAAATTTGGAGACTGCCCATTAAGCTTCTGAACATTTAGATTGCATTCTAGAATAAAGTGGGCATTCTACATGCTTATAGGTGTGCAGTGTGAAGAGGCCTAGTGTGGCTTCAGGTTGCAGGTATGGTCCATGGGCTTTGTGGTTTCTGTACTGGACGGTGGTCAGATGGTAACAGTGTTGATAAAAATCCACAGTCCTCTAGTCAAAAAGCTTCAGTATCTCCCTCAACAAATCTCTTTGTTCTTTTTTTTGTTATAGTTTTTTCTCTTTCTAAGAATAACAGCCCCCCCCCTTCAGTGCTAATGAAATGGTCACCAAAAGATAAAATGACGAAACACTGCAGTGTTTTTAGAAGGTGAAATCAAGCACAGTTCCTGAGTAATTTATAGATTTTATCATCAGCCCTGCAGGGATTTTTTTAATATCCTTCTTCCTACATCCCCATTCCCCAATTAAAGAGAAGACCAAAGAGTGAATGTTTCATTTATGGGGAAAGTTTTCACTGTTTTTATGTCTAATAAGATTGTTATTTTGGGGCTGGCCATTTAGCTCAGTTGGTTAGAGCGTGATGTTATGACACCAAGGTCAAGGATTCAGNGTTCTATTAGTGGTTGGTTGTATGTCTTAGGCACTCATTTGGGACATGGTAACTGTAAAAAAAGGACTACATTCATTCATTCAGCAAAGAATTATTGAATAAATAACAAAAGTTGCAGGAGACTTTTTTTGATAGTTCAGAATTGGGCAATCTTTCTAATTTTCTCAGGCATGATAATGGTATTGTGGTTATGTAGGAGAAGAAAGACCTATTAGAAGATGACAGCTGAAGCATTTTTGGTCAGTGTCATGACTCTGCAAGTTACTTTTGATTGATTCAGGGAAAAGTTAGCCTGTGAGCATGTGTGGGCACATGTTCAGTACCTGGACCTGTAGAAACATGGAGGTGTGTGTGTTGTATCCTCTCTGCTTTCTCCATGATTGAAAATGTTCACAGTAAGAAGGTGGAAGAAGAAAGATGATCTGGCTGGATTGTGGGAATAGATGGGAGAGAGATTGAAGGCCAAAACCCGGGTTCTTTCTCTCCTTACTGGGTCTTACTCTTTCTTTTAAATCCTAGTTCCTGGAATAGAGTAAGTGGTTACTCATTGCTGACTAACTGAATGAGTAACTTCATGAATCAGTGGTAGACATATAAGTAAGTTACTGCTGTTCACAAAACAGTTTTTACTTTGTTGATTTTAGACATCAGTAGTTTGAAAGCATCTCTTTCAATCCCACTTGCCCTCTGACTACTACCTGCTCTCTCTCCCTTCCTTCTTCCCTGAATCTCCCTAATGCCACGTCCTAAAATGGGGAGGGAGATGGGGGCACACATCTCCATGGTGCTGTGGAGGAGGACAAAGGGAAAAGCTGATGGGAAGGCTTCAGAGAAGGCAGGATGTTCAAGGTGGGCTCCTAAAGGCTGGCCAGCAGGGAGGTGAGGAGCCAGCTTTCTTCTATACCACAGGAAATACCCATTGAAATACTCATTTTCCTGCAATTTTATTAGATTTTTGATCCATGCTTTCACCTGGAAAACTGTTTACAAAACTGTTGTGCTAAGCAGTAGTACTTTAGGGAAAGATTTCAGAGAGATAGTCTGGAAACAGAAATGACTGTGACTTTAGTTACCATCTGTGGCTCAGCTCCTCATTGTTAAATGGCAGTTAGGGTTAATGCCTGATCACGGGGGCAGTGAGAGAAGTCAGTGACGCACACAAGGTTGAGACAGTGCCAAGCTCAGGTGTGATCCAGCCAGCATCGGCGACTCAGCACATAAGACTGTCTGGATTTGTCACAGGACCTAGGATGCTGGCCATTGACTACTTTTACATTTGCCCCTATACGCCAGATGTTAAGATTATAGAACTAAAAGGGAAAAAAAGAAAAGATTGCAACCTGTCTATCTTACATATATAGGGAAATTTATTGCAATTAATTACAGGATGGGTCGATCAAGTTCTGAGGAGTATTTTGAGACCCATTAAAGAACAATATATAAAATATGTGCACCTTTCTTGCTGAAATTCTACCAGTAAACCAAGAAACTGGTAATTCTTTTCAGGGCCGCAGCAGTGAATAGTCATATTAAGAAGTAAATTAATGCTCACTGAGAGTTTGTTGTGGTGAACTCATCCTTTAGGTTTATATACCAGAGCTATATAGAATATTAAGTGAAAGAGGGGTTTAGATAAATACACAAACAAAGCAAGCAAGATACTTTAAGTTTTAAGACACATCATTTTGCAGCTTTGTGGAGTCATAGACCCCATAGTATCTGAGGACATTGTATCATTGCTCCCTTGACACCAGAGAATGCTGGAGCAGTGCTCCCATAGCACCTGAGGACCCTGCAGCAGTGTTCCCATAGGTGTTTGCATGTGATTACAATTTATAATGCAGTTATGTGGTTGCCTTGAGCTTCTCAAAGTGGGAGAACCTGAAGGGCAGGAGTTTTGTTGTTTTCTTCATCTGGTACAAAGTAGGTACTCAGTAAATATTGAATGAAGGAATTCCTGTTCCCCAAATTGGAATCTCCTCATCCTTTTTTTTCCCCCCTCCAGAAATGTTTTTGTTTTTAGCTTTTACAATATTTTTACTGTAATGCTAATTTCAGATATTTTATTTTTATATTCAGTTGGGGAGTGATAGATGAAGGAAGAATGTAATTGGCTTACCAGGAATCATAGTTATAATCATAGATAATGATTTCTGTGGTTTCTATTAAAACCCATTAGAAGTTTAAATAACTAACATAGATAAATATGCTTTTGCCGCTTATTCAGGTTAAAATTTGGAGACTGCCCATTAAGCTTCTGAACATTTAGATTGCATTCTAGAATAAAGTGGGCATTCTACATGCTTATAGGTGTGCAGTGTGAAGAGGCCTAGTGTGGCTTCAGGTTGCAGGTATGGTCCATGGGCTTTGTGGTTTCTGTACTGGACGGTGGTCAGATGGTAACAGTGTTGATAAAAATCCACAGTCCTCTAGTCAAAAAGCTTCAGTATCTCCCTCAACAAATCTCTTTGTTCTTTTTTTTGTTATAGTTTTTTCTCTTTCTAAGAATAACAGCCCCCCCCCTTCAGTGCTAATGAAATGGTCACCAAAAGATAAAATGACGAAACACTGCAGTGTTTTTAGAAGGTGAAATCAAGCACAGTTCCTGAGTAATTTATAGATTTTATCATCAGCCCTGCAGGGATTTTTTTAATATCCTTCTTCCTACATCCCCATTCCCCAATTAAAGAGAAGACCAAAGAGTGAATGTTTCATTTATGGGGAAAGTTTTCACTGTTTTTATGTCTAATAAGATTGTTATTTTGGGGCTGGCCATTTAGCTCAGTTGGTTAGAGCGTGATGTTATGACACCAAGGTCAAGGATTCAGATCCTCATACCTCATACAAAAAAAAATCATCATTATTTTTTACTTTTGTAGCTCTGCAGGATACCTCCAGTTAGTGAACAGTTTGTAAACAAATAATTAAAACAAAATTACTTTGTCTTTTATTCTTAAAATTTGTATGCAACACATTCCTTTTGTTTAAAGTCAGAGAAGGATGGCTGCAGGTATGCACTTGTTGGACCCTGGATAAGAGTGTGCTTTCCTGCAGATGTGCACCTGCAGCATGTTGGACCCTGAGTAAGAGTGTGCTTTTCCACAGGTCTCAGCCACCTTTGCAGCTAGTCTGGTCAGCAGCCCAGCCATTGGAGCATACCTTTCTGCCAGTTATGGAGACAGCCTTGTTGTGCTGGTGGCCACAGTGGTGGCTCTTCTGGACATCTGCTTCATCTTACTGGCTGTTCCAGAGTCTCTGCCTGAGAAAATGAGACCAGTTTCCTGGGGAGCTCAGATTTCTTGGAAACAAGCAGACCCTTTTGCGGTAAATAAAAACTTGAAAATATTTACTTTCCTAAATATCTTCTTAAGCCAACCAAATAAAAATTTATATGCATCCTTAAGGATCTCAACAGTTGTTTGTCCATTTCTTTCTCTTATAAAAGTAGAAAAAATTTAATTGTAAGTAACGGCATGACCTGGGGACCCTGCCTTTTCTGTTTTTGCCACAATGTCAGACAGTGAAAGAGGTGTTTAGAGAAGGAAGACAGGAGTGGGCCTGGGAGCCAGCTGGTTAGACCTCCCACCTTATCATGCACTAATCAAGTTATGCATGGAAACTCACCTGAATAAATTAACTAGTCTAGTGTCTGGTGTGTAATGTAGCAAGGTCTCAGTAGACATTTGCTTTTGCTATGAATTACATAAGGGTTATCGTGTGATGACCTAGAAGCTCTGCAGCACTTTCCATTCCTCTGATTACAGTGTACCTTTTGGTTCTGTTCAGCAATCCCATGTATATAAGGATTCTTCAGCAAGGTTGTGACATTCAAAAAGGTCTTACTGGTCTGACCCCATGACTAGAGCATACTTATTTGTCTACCAGGTTTACAGGCAAATCAAATATTAACATTTTGAACAACAGAGTGAAATTACATCTAATGAAAACCCTGTACTAATAGAGCTTTAAAAGAAGTGATTTTCTTGAAAGGTTCTGTAGGAATGCTTTTTCAGGGTCCGTTCATAGGATGTTCAAGATCTGTTTAGGGATGTGAACCAGTAATGAA